GAGTATTGGTATCGGATCGATACTATCATGATGACATCGATACTTTCGTTGCAGTTTCTCTCCGAGTTCATGCAAGCACAGCGTCTCTCCAAGTCTGTGAGCACCGCTCCTGTCACAGCGCAGAGCACAGCCAGGCACTCCTCTCCTGGTCGGACGGAGCAGCAGGAAACTAGTAACCAGTCTTAATTTAGCCCGACTCAGCTCCACCCAGGCTCCACCTATTTGCCAATTTTTGGATTAATTCAATTCAATTCAATTCAATTCAATTTTATTTGTATAGCGCCAATTCATAACAGAAGTTATCTCAGGACACTTTTCAAATAGAGCAGGTCTAGACCGAACTCTTTAAAACATTATTTACAGAGACCCAACAGTACCACCATGAGCAAGCACTTGGCGACAAGGGCAAGGAAAAACTGCCTGTTAAAAGGCAGAAACCTAGGACAGATCCTCCGGCTCTAGGTGGGTGGTCGTCTGTCTCGACCAGTTGGAGTGAAAGAGAGAGAGAGAGACAGACAGACAGACAGACAGGTGCACAGCAACAACAGTATTGGCAATGGCAATCCAGCAGGACCAGGATTAGCCAGCGGAGTCAGGACTGCCAAAATGGCGACCACACTGAGCTTCACAGCTGATCTTCAGAAACCTCTGGGTGACATCACAAAGACTATGTCCATTTTTAATTATACAGTCTATGATTTGGGTCAATGTCAGTGGCGGACTGGCCATCGGGAGCACCGGGACATTCCCCGGTGGCCTGGCCGCCGAACTGCAGCAACGTTGGGCACAAACACACCCCCTCCTCTCTTTTTCTGAGGCTCTCTGTCACAGCACGGCAGGCACACACACACACACACACACACACACACACACACACACACACACACACCAAGTTGCGCCCCCGCCCCCCTCCTCCCTCCTCCCGCACCTGTAGTTCTACATGCTTGAAAAATGGAGCGAGATTGACAGCCCAAGAGGAAAGGATGAGCAGAGAGGATGAGGCTTACAAAGCTAAAAGCACTGGCCACAGATGCAGCGAAGTGCTGTAACATGTTTGTCAGTAAGGGAGCAGGTAAGACATTAAACATTAGTGGTGACAACAGACGCACAACCATAGCCTATCCAGCACGACCAGCTACTGACTTAATAAAACAAATGTTTTAAGTTGTAACAAAGGATATTCTAAATTTTAGAATATGTTTTTTTTTTCTCACTGGTACTATTGTATCATATTTCAAATTTCTTTCTGTGTCTGTTTGAAGTTTCCTTGTTTAATGTAACTGAGAATAAACCTACACATCTGCAGTGCGCCACCTGTGTACCTCTCACTTGTGGTATGATACTATGGTTGACACAGTGGTCAAATGTATAACTAGTCTGGTACCTGTTAAAAAAAATAAAAAAATAGGATTGGTCTCAAGTTTCTAGGTGGATGATGGTGTAACCTATTTTATTTCATCTACTACTACACTGTTAAATGTCGGCCTGCACATTAAAAGTGTAGTAGTAAATGCAATAGAAAAGAAATTATAGTTATAGTTAGCAATAATTTCAGTTTATGTGATTTGAGTACAGGTTATTGCAGCACAACAGAAACCTTGATTTTGTAGGGGAAAGAAACAGAAAAAGCTGTGTGTGGGCGCATGTTTGCTTTATTATTTTACACTCTTACATCAGTAGGCTCCCAACCTAACTCACTCTTGGTGTTTTGCATTAATCGGGTGGTAGTGGCCTGGGATGGTATCAAATTCCCGGCCTGAATTATTGTCCCAGTCTGCCCCTGGTCAATGTATAACGTTTGTTTCCATTTCCCCTAATTGTATGAATGCACTATTTTCTTTTTGGTTTTTCCTTAAAATCTTTCCTTAGCAACCAAATGGTTTCACTTTAACTATGCACGACTAAATTACGTTGGTACTTATTTGCTACTTTGGTTCTCCCCTGCTATGAGCCTTATATTATGTTCTAGCTCTGACACTGCTTCCATTCACTTAGCCTCCCCTGAAACTGATTGGAGTTCCCCCTTGGGAGGCCTGCCTTCGAAAGTCTCTGACTTAGTCAAATATGGAGGCGGTGCTAGTGGTAAAAATAGAGCTGTACAGTCTGTCCACGCGTCTTATCTGTGACATGCACACGATCATGCTAGATGTACATACTGTACATTTCAGATGAAAGCATATAACTAATCCTGGGTTTCAGTTCTTCAAATAGAAATTTGTTAAGTTAAGCATTTACTTACATTTGGTGAACTGTAGGCTATATGTTATATAGTATCATACTCATGTATGAGTATAAATAATATAAAGTCATACCTACATTTACATAGTATTGGCGGTTAAGTTAAGTTAAGCAGAATCTTGATGTTTCCAAGAGCTCTGATGGTGACTTCCCAGTTAGATTATGAACGTTATTACTGTAAGTTCTTATTTGCATTCTCAATTTATATTTTACTTGTGATTTTACTTATCATCAGATAACTAAAATGTTTGCTTTCTTGGTCTGCAGGCACTTTTGACATAATTATGTATTTATTGATAATGTAATTTTGAATCATAAGCTATACACAATAATGAAATATTGTGTGTTGGAGAACTGATATGTCCTGAAATGTACAAAGAAATCTTGCCTGCGGGAACACGTTGCGTGGTGAAGCATTAAAAATGACAAATGAGCCATATCTGATAGAGGTTTTAGAATGTGTTGTGTATTGATTTGTGATCTGATTGTCTACATGTTTCACACAATGAATACGTCTGACTTTCTGTACAGGCAGGAAAAAACAAGAGCTGCTCAGCAGGATGCTTCACATTGTTTGGCTCTGACGTAAAAAACCAACATCAGATGAAAATCATCAAACAGTCTTTGTTCTTGTGGCCTACATGTCACAGTTCAATACATGTGTGCATTGACAGCATTGCAGGACACAGGGGACAGAACAGTTGGAATTACACCGGTTGGAAAGATGGAGAGAGAAGAGTGTATGTTAACATCATAGATATGTACATACAGATATATACAGTATGTATCCAAACATAAGTCTAAAAATAGTATATATATATATATACATAATTATACATGTATACATATACATATATCATTTGCTATATATACTACATATACATATTACAATAAAATAGATATATATATACACAAATGTATACTAAAAGCAAAGAGATAAAACAAACAAATAACAGAGCACATCTGATATTTAATAATTAGTTAATGACATACATATCAATAATAGCCTACTTTTATGCATGATCCATGACGATAAAGATACAGAAAAATAGAAATGTATGGCAACAATAGCATAGTGTCAGTATTTTTAGTATTACATTTACATCTTGGGAGGTCTTTAACAACTAGTTTCATAAATCGTGTTTTCAGGGGAGCTCATATTTTATTTCCCGGTAGTTCACACCCTGTTTATAGTACTGTTTATAGCAAGGACGAAATTTTGATTTCAGAGGTGGGGGGGGACACAAGTATTTTTAATAAAACTCTAACTCTTTCAGTTCACTGTGTTTTCTAGTAGTTCTTCTAGTTTTCTATTGCTACTTTTAAGTTTACTGTTCCCTTTTTTGGTTTGACTGGTTGTAAAGCATGTAGCAAAACATTATCACCCAATTCTGTGTTTTACCTTGTTAGTCAACTTCACTCCAACTCAGTACCACCAATTTTACACTTATTTTTGGAATATATGGTAAACAGACCTCATTTACATAGCACCATCAAACTGGCAGGAATATAACAGGTGGGGAGAAATTGAATAAAATGTCCATAATTCAGTGGAAGTAGTCAAGTAATCAATTTTATTTGAAATGAGTGTAACAGAGAACCACTGTCATTTTTAGGCAGTTATATGGAAGAAAATCCTATTTTTGATGTAAATGAAAAGTGAACAAGGGTCAATTTGACCCAAAGAGCCAGTGAAGGTGTTGCAGGATGGGTGTAACGCATTTCTTTGAGTAACTTACACTTTGACTTCTAAAGAAGTCTCTTATGTCCACTTTTCTTTTTTTAGACATCCTGGCTGCGGCTAATTACCAAACACATACACACACACACACACACGCACGCACGCACGCACGCACGCACACACATACGCACATGAAAACTGATTCAAACGTTAATGTAAATGAAACCTCTGATATTACAATCCGTCTAGCTGATGTGACCCAGGCAGAACAAACTGCCAATTTACAGTGGCAGATTAATAAGGACTCCTGGGCAACTAGCAGACCGGTGTGCAAGCAAGATGGAGTGACAGCGGGGATGGCCAATCACCCAAGAAATGGCAGACCCAATCGAGGAGAGGAGCTTGTGGGCGGTCTAAGGGAAACAGGCTTCAGCTTGAGCGGCTATAGCGTAACAGGGGGGACATGTCACCTGTGTCTGAAAGCACTTGCTTAGGTTTAGGATTAAATACTGAAAAAAATTCCTTTTCAATATTTAACCAAAGCATAATTTATTGTGAACAAGCATAGCACAAATGACATAGAAATATGGAAATATGGAAGTATACACCACTCAGACAATGAGAAATAAGGTCACTTATTTGAAAACCTGACACTCGTTCATACTTTCTTATTCTTATTCTTATTATTATTAATACTAATAAAACTAAGAACTGTTATATGAATAAACTTTATTACTAATTGTGATTTACTCAAGTACTGCACTTTCGATGTTTATGCTTGGTTATACTTTGTCTTTGAACACATTTCAACATTCAACAACGTACATTTTTAGTTTTTAATTATAGATTCAGATCAAAGTCATGTTAATGAAAAAGCCTTTTACCTTTTGCCCACATACTTTACTTTCATACTATATATTATGGCTCTTTAATTACAACTAATTACTACTTTTATTCTCAAATCTCAGGTTGTTTAATTCCCATAACTGGCCCTAATAATCATAATTCATACTGTATGATTTACAATTTTCCTACTGCCATTAAATTGTATTGTATGTAACATCTATAGTGAAAGCAATGATTCAAGAAGTATGTAGATAATTTAATGGAGTTGAGGTAAATACCAAAATTAAATATACCAAAGAGTTTACTTAAATAAGGGGACAGATATTTTATCAGCAAAGCATACATACATTATTCAGAATAGCCCCATGTAGCTACAACCTTATGATACTGCTTACAGGTCAGAACATTTAGCAACTCGACATGAAACAGCACATCATTCTTTGAATGTTTTTCATTGCTCCTGTATAGAAAATGATCAAGATGACAAACGCTCCACCTCAGATCACAATCATGAAGACAGACTGCAGTGAAAATCTCAAACAGATCAAAACAGTCAGATGCATCTTGTCAACTTTATTTTGCTGTAGATGAGCAGAACCCACTGCAATTTGTACCTGTGATAAAACCCATGAGGAAAATTTTAATAAAATAGGAATGAAAAAAAAACATACTGTATATTTAATTTTGTTTTTTCTTTTTTTCTGCTTTTCAGTTTTGAATTTCCTTTTAAGACTAACACTTTTTGTTATCTTTTCAATCAGTTTCACTTTACATTTTATTAAAATGTTTTTCTTTATTACATAAATACATAGAAATGTCTTCTTTGTATTACTTCTGTTTTCCCATTTTATCTTGCTAAATAAGTGGTATTAAATCAAGAACTTTGATTTATTTTTGTTTTTTTACATATATCTGCAACATATATCTATATATAGCCTATATAAAAGGCATTAACAATGATTCAGTCCATTAACACCTTATTTTAAGAATTAGTCTCACAGACACAAAATAGCTTTTGGACAGTCAAGAATCAAAAGCACTGGGAAAATACCAGAGCCAGATAAATACCAGTGACTTTCTTTCAAACACACAAAGAATAGAGGGTTTAATTATCAATAAAAACAAGGCTATCTAGGTTATTAATAATGAACGCTGTATGCGTCATGTATTTGGTCATTCGCATACAGTAAATCCACATTTTGTGAAATTACATAAAAAATAATTACATGAAAACAGAGGGCTTTGTTCCATTTGGAAGACAAGAAAGGCTTTCATACCTTTTCAACAAATTCATCAATCATTCTTCATCATAGTTTATTCAATGTCAAAAATAATAATAAGAGAACAAGCAAACAATTTTATGCCCTCAAATTATCCAAAAGTTCAAAAACCAGAAGAGATTCAGTTCACAACATATGGCTGTGGTTGGTTTAGTTCTTTTTCCACCCAGATTTTAAACTAATCAACCTGTTTTCTGTCACATGAGCAGTTTTCATCAGACAGCAGGCCTAATGTTGGAGTAGGAGGCGGTGATGGATTGGTCCAGGTTGTTGGCATCTTCCTGTGCAGTGGCAGCCAGTATGGCCTGAAACAGAATGACCCTCTGCAGAAGGTCAGACATGAAGGAGAAGTTGTAAACCTGCTGCTCTGCTGTGTCTCTGTCCTTCATCTGCTGCAGAGTCTGCTCTGCCTCTTCATACATGTCTTCACTGAAGTGCTGCCCTCCATTGGCTGCCACCATGTCATCGATCTTCTCGATCAGCTTAACCACTTGAGTTCTGTTCCTTCTTTTCTTGTTGTTGAAGACGTGGTATCGGTTACCGCACCTGTTGATCACCTCTCGAAGTTTTGGATGGCCTGTTTGCAGATACTCCCGAATGCTTTTGCCCTTCAACTCATCTCCACGCGTGAACAGAACGATCATGTACTTAGATGCATTGGGTCCGAAGATTTTCTCCAGGGCTTGGACGCAGTTTTCTTCTTCTTTGGTGAACCTGCCGATCTGGATTACCAGCAGGAAGGCGTGAGGGCCGGGAGAGGACACTTGGATGCATTTTGCAATCTCGGTCTTTATGCTGTCTGCACTTCTAGATGTATCCATGATCCCGGGCGTATCAACCACGTGGATCTTTCTGCGACAGTTGACCCGTTCTTTCTCGCAGCTGGCTGTCACGGACTGAAGACTCGCTGAAGAATGGAAAACCCTTTTACCCACGATGGTGTTACCGACCGCACTTTTCCCAACTCCAGTTTTCCCAATCATCACAATCCTCAGTGGAGGACCTGGAAGCAAAAATAAGTAAGTATAAAAAGTATTTTACCATCAACATAACATAATTAGTACAAATGTTGCTGTTACTGCAATATGCTGAAAAAGATCCAACTTCACCTTCAGGAATCGAGGAGCGGTTACCCATCTCTCTATATCTTTGACTTTTTGGAGAATGAACAGAACAGATATCACTATTGTTTTTGTGTGAGGCAGTTTTCAGCACTCCACCCACAGGGTGGACCAGCCTATATCAGTGTGATTCAGTCTGACAAACTTAAAAGCTGAGTCAGACACCCCAGTGAAACCTACCTGCTCTACTAAGCAGCAAAAAATGCCTTACAGACCACATTCAAAAAGCCTTCTACCGCATCCTAAAGGCCCTCTACCACATCCTAAAGGCCTTCTACCATGTAAGTAATGCTTCTTCTCTTTTTTTAAAAACAGTTTTGGGACATTTTGCCTTGCAATTACATGATCAGAATCTTAAACTATTTGATTTTGGTATAAGGGTGTAACATATGTCCATTCTTTGATAGTGATTCTGACATATTGAAATCTTTTCAACACAGAACAATGTGAAGCTATGCATCTGGAATTTTATTCAAGCTTGACATATGTACGGCAGGGAATCAAAAGTCAATAATGCTGGAAGCAGTTTGGTGGCTAGATAACTAGTCCCTATTTTTTCTGTGTACACTTTCTGGATTGTGCATTAAAACATATCACTGTTGTTGTTTTTTACAGTATATCCTGGTCAGTTAACTGTCGCTCTGTTTGGAAAGAGAGCTCAGTTAAAGACAGTCATTGGAAAAATGATCCTCAGTGGTGAGCATAACACTGTCACAAAGACAAACAACTTTGATGTGAAGAAGAACGACTCGTTCAAAATTATCAGCACTCCTGATATCTTTGAGCAAGAAAGTCTGCACCCGGACCAGGACATCATTGACTTCATGGCATTGTCTCATCCTGGCCCCCATCTGTTCATACTGGCAATAGATTCAGAAAACACAGAAGAGGAAAAAATCGTGGCTCAAATCAGTAAACTTCAGCATACTTTTGGAGAAAGAATCACAGAACACTTGGTTGTCACGTTGCCAGACATCGAAAGCTTCCAATCACTCAGCCATCTGAAGGAACGGTTCCACACCCGGTTAGCAATTGCCAATGAAAATCTGGCCAGTGAATGTAGAAACTGGTGTGGTGGCCGTCACCTATTCATGTATGACTACAAAAACTACAGTGAAAGTGTTGTGATGACAAGAAAGAAAGCCTTAGATGAGACAAGGTAGAAACTTCATTACTACATAACAGTTCTGATAAATACGTGTGTACAGAGAGCTAAAGTTCCACCCTACTTTAGGGCTATGTTTCTCAATATATTTTCTCATAGAGGGTGTCTTTCATAAGACCTAGTGGAAAGCTGGAGTGTTTTTTTGGTTTTTGATAAACGTGGATACAAGCCATATTCAATATATATATATACAATTTTATAGACTTAATTTTTCTTGTATACAGCCTCCCAGGCTTATTTGAGCTCATTCTTACTTCCAAAGAGCTTAAATAGTAAATTTGTAAATTGAAAATCAGGTCGGCCTAAGAGCGTTTTGAGTTTAGGTAGATGGTCAGAAATGTTTTGCTAACAGAATTTATAGGTGGAGCTTGTTGGCCATACTCTTTGGTTATGACCTTTGCCTAAGAAGACAACTTAAGGGCAAGAGCATCCCTTAAAGGGGAACTACACACTAAATAGTGTGTGCTCTAGACATACATATAATGTGTATAGTGTTGTTGGATTTGAAAGTTTGATTCAGCATAATTCTCTGGCCCATCCCTGTCCAGGAAATATGCAAGACTCAAAGGTCCCCCCTACAAATATAAAAAGTAGGCTAACCATAGCCCCATAGCTCAAATGTGCTGGAAGGGATGTTTCTAGCTGAATTTGAGGGTGTAGTTACCTTTTAATTATTATCCTGTTTGCAATCAGAATCTCACTTTATTTGCCAAATGTACACAGGAACTTGACTTGGTAATACAGCGTAGTGAAACAAGAAAAGTTTAAAAAGTTAATTAATTAATTAGAAGGTTGATTTGTTCATGTCAACCAACAAATTACCATAAATACCCAGTCATTGTTACAATTTAATGCTCAGTCAAGTAGAATGATTGAATTTAGCTTAAAATACAGTCATATCACACTTTAGATTTACAGAAAAGCCAATTTTAGAAACCCACTATGACAAACTTGGATGAATACAAACTAGCCCCAAAGCAAGATCGGACATCTGTCTATAGTTATCATCTTGTGATTTACAATAATTATGCTGACTATTTCAGATGCAATGACCATCCTCCGTATCACCATGGGGGAGCTGGTAAGTCTTTCGTTTTTATTATTTTCAATTGTATTTGGTTATAAAATGATCATGCTGAATGGGTGATCAGGCCTTTGAAGCAGCAAAGCATTTGAAAATACTAGCCTGGTTCAAGACATCAGCTCAAAAGAATACCAAACCATTACTTGGCTAGATTTGGCCCATCTGTTCTCAGTGGGCATTGAGCTCCACCTTGGTTGTGCTTTGTCACTGATTATTTTCCCGGACAACATCTCCAGGCACAGTTGTGGTGACCTAAACCATCCAATGGGACAGTTTACAGCTCACTTGGGATTAGAGTAGGCATCTCCAAGTCTGTGGGAATAAAAATCTGCAAGGATTAAGGTGGAGTGCTAGCTCCAGGTTGGGAGTGAGTTACTGCCCCAAGTGAAGAAGTTCATGTATCTCTGGGTCTTGTTCATGAGTAACGATAAAATGAGAGATCAAAGCAGCTGAAATTAGTTTTCTTTGTAGGATAAGAGGGTGAAGAGCTTTGACATCCAAGGGAGTAGAAACCCTTGGAGTAAAACTGATGCTCGTAATGGTCGAGCTATACTTGCAAAAAAATAGTTTGTCTTTGGAAAGCAAAAGTGTTCATACATGTTCCAAAACAACTACACTAGAAGCCAGAGAAAAAGGATCATAAAGACAGGGCGGATGCAATTATCCTAGAAGGCATTCACAGTGTGCACTCATTGGGGTGGTTCCTTCTTTGATCAGGATCCCTCCTGGACACCTCCTTGTGGAGGCATTCAAGGGGATGTCCAACTGGGAAAAATCCCTTGGGGCAGACCCAGAACACCCTGCAGGGTGAATACATATCCCATCTGGGTTGGGAACAACTTGGGATCCGAATATGAAAAAAACAACTCGGCATCACTAGCTGACTAACTGGAAGAATCTCCTTTTCAGCACAAGGGGATTTACCTCCTGTGCCTTCTGATTTATCTCCTGTAGATCACCCTGATGAAGGCCCTGGGCAGAAACACATCAGTCCTTTGTTATTTGAACATACAATTGGCTGGTGAAGTAGTGAAAGCAAAATCTTCCAGCAGCTTGAGATCTAACCTTGAGTAGCCTAAGGATGTGACTGAGAAGACCTTTTGAGTCCATAGTACCATTTGGGTCCATAGTTCTAAATCGGGTACTATCCAGACTAGCCATCCATTTAGCCCATAAATGCCAAGCTGTAAGAATAGTATAAGGTGCTATTGACAGATTTTAAAATAGGAATCAGGGAGTATGTCTTAATAAATCGCAGTATGTATGTTCCATCTTTACAGATGCTGACCCCATGAGTCCGTCCACCTCAAAACATGATTTTGCTGCACCTGTTGGAGCAGCAGTTGAACGTCACATTGGTATGCCTCGGAAGATGCAATACAACACATATCATGGGATAACAAGATGACAAATGTGACAAATACTCCATATCTGTGTTTTGCAGTGTCCCTTTGCTAATAAAACATAATTCAGAGGCAAAACAATGCTGACATACCCAACCGTGTAAGATTATTAGCATTCCCATCAAAGTTTACTGTCAGAGTTTTTATGTCTGGGATCTTTTGATGAATCTTTTTGTAAAAAACAAAAAACATAAAAAACTTCTGCTCTAACTGTATCCTCAAGGTAACAGCAGCCACAGAGTGCCAGACAACATATTCAACATTGTTCTACTAGGACTAAGTGGGACTGGAAAGAGTGCATCTGCCAATACCATCCTGGCTGCTGAAAAGGCCGAGGTAGATTCAGGACAACTTTTTAAATCTCAGCCCAGCTCTGTGCCGGTCACCACCCAATGTGAGGTCAAAATAATGGAGAAACCATTCGGGGTGCAGGTGAGATTGGTCGACACTCCAGACTTCTTTCACGACCAGCTCAAAAACTCCCAGGCCCATGTAGAGGATTGTAAGAAGTATTGTCAGCCAGGGCAATGCGTTTTTTTACTTGTGATACAGCTGGGCCGGTTCACAGATGCTGAGGAAGGAATATTAGAAAAGCTGGAGGACAAGCTTGGCTGGAAGATCAGAGAGAGCACAATCGTTCTGCTGACCCGAAGAGAGGACCTCAAAGGGAGTCTGGAGGACCTTATTGAAACATGTCCTGCCCTCAAGAACATTGTTGAATTGTGTGACAGACGTTATCATCTGTTTAACAACACTTCCAAAGACACTAAGCAAGTCATTGAGCTCATCAAGAAAATTCCAAATTGGAAAAACACATTCCCAAAGATTGCAAAGAAAAATGGCTCACAGTGCTGTTTATGCTAAAGGAGCATTGCACTCCAAAAACATTGTTCCACTCCCAGTTTTAAAAAACAAGATTCAAATCAGTGTTTTGCCTTGTAAAACGCTTCTGCCCACATTATTATGCCATCAACAATAAACAATTATATCAGAGGTTCAGTTGTGGTAAGGCAAAAGGCAGGATAAATACAGTTCAGTAAGACAACTCACGTTTGAAATGTTTATTATATTCTAGTATAGCATATTTAGATTTTGGCGTCTATGCTCCGACCTCATCATTCCTCACTGATATGTTTAGAGATATTGGGGAGTGATGAGCGAATACCTTAAACCCCTAGCCAGAGCCTACAGGTGCATGATGTGGTGGTGGTGGGCCTTACAGCGCAGCAGGCAGCAATAGCTTACAGAGCAGCAGCAGCAATATGGATGCAGGGCAACGGCGGCATTGACAGAGCAGAGGGAGAGCTGGGAGATTGTCCAGTTTAAATAGACCACCAGATTGGAAGGGTGCGCCTGATTAGTGATTCTGGAGTGAGGCATGTCATGTGTGCTGGAGCAGCACAGTTGGAGTTGACTGCCTGAACTAGCTTGCAGGCTTCGCTCCATTTGTCACACCATTACCAATCTAAACTAAATTAGCCATTTTGATTGATTGCAGTTGTACCTTTATTTGAATATACTGTATATATTTCAGATTTTGCCTGTTTAATGTTTGTATGGACTAACGTTATGTTCTGTTAACTCCTGCAAACTAAATTAGTTTAATTGCTACAGGACACCACTGATCTAGGGAAAAAAAAGAAAGTGTAAGGAACAAAAAAGAGTCAGAGTAAGAAGTAAAATTTAAAAAGGGAAATCTAACATAAAAATCTAAATAAAATATAACAATTTGAGTTTGTAAAATGTTACATAAACTTGGCCTGTGGTAACATGTCTATCCAAGAATAGGTCATAAATAAACAAAGAAATGTGACTCTGGCTGACATATCTGATTAAAACATTATTATTCAGAGTTGTCAAAAGTGAATTTAATCTGGTCATCTGTCTATGTCTGTGTTCTATTTGCATCTGATAGCTGCCTCTGAAAAACAAAACAAAAGCTGCTCAACAACATATTTCACATTGTTCTGCTGTCAGTGTGGCAAAGCTCATGATACATTTTCATCAATGATCGTTTATGTGTAACATCTAGAAGCATTTATTAGCAATTCATTGTTTTTATCCCTCCAAGGTATTTTTTTTTTTTTTGTTATTTGAAAAAGGACATTGGTGTGGACTGCTCACTTTGTCAACTGGCTCCAGAAGAATGGTAATTTATTTTGGTCTTGTCCCCATTCTTGTACTTGGAAAGACGTTTGTGCATTTATTTCTCAGTAGATTTTGAATTTACCCTTTCCTATGAAAACGTTTTGTTTGCCATTTTCACTTATTCTAAACAAATCAAAACAAAATCATCAATTTGATCCTACTATACTTACAAAATACATATGCATAATTGAAATGTTCCAATCATAATACATCTTTTGAAAAAAATGAAATCAAACAATACATTATATCAATCCTATATTCTAAAAATAAGAAAGCTATAAAAACCTAACATTTATGTTTCCTGTAAAACATTTTTATCTTTTATATATATGATTTTTGTCTGTGTTTCCTGGTATTATCTGTTCATGTATTGTTTACCTTGCTGTTTATTAATAAAAAATAATAATTCAAAAATTAAGAATTATTTTGTTTTGAATTGTATTATATGTATTTGTATTTCAGTTTAAATCATATTTCTGCTAGTCTGGAAACATGTCTTAAAGAACCTGAAAATAAGTAAAGGGGTCCTATGTGAATGGTATATGGTAAATGGATGGACCCACTATTTGTATGTTTGTTTGCATTTTTCTAGACCAGGGGTTCCCAAACTTTGTCATCTTAAGGACCCCCACAATAGATACACATTAAACTGTAAAAAACTGTAACAGCAATGTTATTTTCTAGAATTAAAAAACAGTTTTAATAATTTAGTTTAGTTTTTAACAGCAATTGAATATTAAAATCACATACAATTAAAGCTGCAAGCAGCGTTGGGTGGGACCTCGCACTCCACGCAACTCGGGGCATGCTGCGGCCGCATCGCGTGCCGTCGTAACACGTGCGGACCACAACATGAAAATCTGCCGTTAATCAGCTCAAAATCGCCACGCAGCGCTTACTTCCTGTTGCCTGTAGGTGGCGCTATCACTATGTCTGAATATTGTAATGTACACATGCTCAGGCCGGGACTGTTATCAAGCATTTGAAGTGTGGAGCCGATTGGACAATGTACACTGAAGTTATGGCGAAATTGTGTTTTGTGGCGGTCCATCAAAATTTCCCGCCACCTCACAGACACGCCCCCTCACCACAGTCAACACATATCATCAACAATGTGTTTTGCATTCTATAAGTAAATTTCAGCTGGATCTGATCATCCTGCGAGGAGTAGAACATGAAAGTATAAAACGTGATACTTCCTGTTGCCTGTAGGTGGCGCTATCACTATGTCTGAATATTGTAATGTACACATGCTCAGGCCGGGACTGTTATCAAACACGTGAAGTTTCATTGAGATTGGATCATGTACACTGAAGTTATGAGGACGTGTTCAGGGTGGGACTGTACAATGAAGATATGAGTACTATCTGTTTGATGGCCAATCGGTGGAATTCGACACGTCGTCACGCGCACACGGTTAAACATACAGTCACAAATAGCACAACTTTTGATAACCAATGTATGTAGATTGAAGTGATCGAATTTGAAGTCAATCTGATAAAATCTGTAGGAGGAGTTAGTTAAAACAGAAGCCCTTAAATGCCGGAAATAGCATCACAGTTTGACATTCGATTCAACCTGGCCAACTTTGAGGGAACGCCTAAGACACGCCCTTTAATGTACAGTTACAAATAGCACAACTTCTAATCAGCACCATTTTTTGACTGTACTGACCAATTTTGAAGCAGATCTGATAAATTCTCTAGGAGGAATTCGTTCAAATACAATGCGAAAAATCACAAAAAATGACAAAATAAATCAAAATGGCTGACTTTGATGCCATGTTACACGTGTCTACCGAGTTTCGTACATATCAGTGAAACGTGGTGCCAGGGCTGCTGATTTTTTATCCTGTAGGGGGCGCTACAAACACGACAAACACGATTTTTGGTATGTGAGCTTCAGGCACTACTCTACACGTGTCCTGTGCATTTCATATTCATAACTACTACGGTCTACGCACAGTGATTTACCATGCCACCAGACCGCCACCTAGTGGCAGATTGTTGACACATTTTTAGTGAGCCTCAGGGAGCCATGGGGAAGCATCGTACCAAGTTTCATCTTAATCACACATACCGTTGTAGAGATATAAACTTCCTAATTTTAAAGAGTGCCACCTTGTGGCGATAGCCTGAAATTGTGCACGATGCCTAAGAAAGACATGTGGAACTATGGACCCAAGTTTGGTGTCAATCGGACATACCAATGTGGAGAAATGGTCCACTTCCTTTTTTGACGAAAAATCCACAGGAAGTGCTAATTTTATAACGTGCTGGTTTTTTGAAATATCAAAATCCTTTTAATCACTTTTTTATTATGATGGCCCTCAGATGCTACGTGAAACATTTTGTGTGAATCGGACAAAGCGCATGGGGGGAACACGGAAAAGTAGTTTATGGACATTTTGTGTTCTAGCGGAGAAAAATTATAGGCGGAAGTGGGCGTGGCCTATATGGGAAGATTCAGCTCTATTCACCGAACGCGTGGATACAAGGTTTTTGAACACGTGGATACAAGGTTTTTGAACACGTGGATACAAGGTTTTTGAATGTTTTAGAAATAAACTTGAACGGTGAAATGACTAAAAGTGGCTATACATATCATCACTGGGCAATCAATGATCAAAGTAGGACAACTATAAATTCCAATCAATCACAACCCCAACCCTATTTCCTTCCTGGTTCCAGCTTCCAAAAAATTTAATAAAAGTTAAAATATTCAGTTCCTCCTTTTGCTGGGGAACCCAGTTTGAAAACCACTGTTCTAGACTGTTCTAAACAACACCCACTGTTTATTTAGTATAAAATGAATATAATGTCAGACAGAAATAATTAAGTTAATATTCAAAATATATAATTTTAAAGTTTCAAAGGCATCATTTGACATTTTGGGGAGTTAAGCGTATTCTCATTCTTTCTCAGAAAGAATGTGGTTGACCTACATATTATTCTTTATTGTCCACCAGGCGTCACCCTTGTCTCAGTTTTTGCTTCCTGTCAGTAATTGGCATGCAGTCCTCCTTCAGGTTATGGAAGGGCTGCAGCAAGTTAAAACCAATGTTCAGTAGTCCATCTCTTTTTCTTTTGTCCTTCAGTCCAGTTTAGAGGTTCTGCTTGAGTTCTTCCATTTCTAACACTTTTTTTTTTACTTTTCTTCCTTTGAAAACTCAATGTTATTCTTTTTCCACTGTTTGTGTCTCACTGCTGAAGTAACAGCAGAGTTTCAGACAATGCACACATACTTACATTTATTCAGGTCCAAAAACAAAGGAATGAAAATGGAATTTTATGCAGATCAATATTTACATAGGGAGGACAAATTTTCCATCAAACACTAGTTCTACTTTTTTGTCTTATATGGGTTTCATGAAACACCAACCTGATAATTCTGGGGTGCTGATCTAATATATGCTCATTTTGAGTCTTCTTAATATATAAATGTACCACAGTTTTATTCGATTCCATTAGTGGTAGTTCCCATGTAGGGGAAGTGACCAATCAGGTTAGAGCCACAAGGGATAATTAGGCTCATGGGCAGCAGGTGTGGAGACTGCAGACTCCTTCAGCACAGACTTTGTTGCTTTGTGTGCTCTCTCCATGCACCTCGACAAACCTGTTTTTATCAGTAAGCGTTTTATAATAATTTCAGTATTTTTTATTGTTCAGGTGCTGTAGGGGTGCAAGTACCCTGAGGTATTGTATTAAAAAGATAGTTTAGAACAACAGTAGCGTTCACGTTTACAGGCGGGCGCCATCTTGGGAAAACAGTCAGGGGTTAGGTCATTCATGCAGATCAATGATCAAGATTTACAGCCGGCGATGTGAACTAAAACAAACGTAATCTGCTCAATATATCAGAAATAATCCCACCGATGTAAAACACAACTTGTCTAGTGTACTCACTCAGTGGATAACTGTCCATCTGGTCCCTCCGGTATGAGTCGCTGCCTCCAATTTATTTTCCGGACATGGAAAAAAGTTTCAAGTACAGCTCTGTTTATCAGAGAGGGGAAATCTGTACTGACTGTACACAACACTGCGTCTCTTGGGTGTCGCGACGCAACAAGTCCCACTCCGTGCAACAAGGAGGTTAGTTCCACTTTGTGGAAGCTGATGGGACTAAAACTGACTTAATAAAACAAATGTTTTAAGTTGTAACAAAGGATATTCCAAATTTTAGAATATGTTTTCATACCTGCCAACTTTTAAAAAAACCTTGGAGTGAGATTTTGTCGGGGTGACCAAAATTATGCCACGCACGCAGCCACACAAGCTGGTGGCTCAGATATCAGAGAATTGGAATTCATTTGATGTTGTACCCTGCATTCTGGTGGTTTGTGGGGAGGCCCAAAGCACTGATAGGGGCAGCCTACTGGAGATGGACAATATTGGTTACATTCTGAGAAGCAGACATCGCTGAAGGTCCAACCCCAGGAAATTTTGGATTAAGTAGATGTGATTTCCTGCATTCTAGTGGATTTTTGGGTGGTCTGCTAAAGATGTGCAATACCTGAACTTATTCTGATTCATGTTCGGCATCATGACTTGTAGGGCCTTCTAGACTTGAGCTGAACATTCAACCAGAAAACTATTGTTGTGCCTAAATGACTGCCTGTATCACAATAAAGCCTTATTCATAGACCAGTGTTTAAGATTTGACCTAGGTACCTGTAGGTTGATTGATATTTTGATTAGAATGGTATTAAACTAATTCTTAACTGAAACCTAACCTATGCTGTGAATAATTGTATTCTTAAGAGCACTTCATGATTTATGTTCAGCCAAAAACGGCTGCTGCTTGTTATGACAGCTTTCACCACACTAAATCATGTTCACACGCTCAAACACAAACAAATAATTTATTTCAAGATTTAAGGTTTAAGAGAGTGAGTACTCAATTGGACGACATTTCATTGTTACATACCTAGTCTCAGCTCAGATTCTCATCAGACTTCTCGAGGTAAACCTACACATCTGCAGTGCACCATCTGTGTACTTTAGGGATGGAGAGATTCGCCGATTTGAATCGGTGGTCTGAGACAGATGTTTGCGATGCGAGTGCACCAGTAGCTTCAGTGTGCATCGGATACAACTGCCGGCTAAATGCGCAATGTATCTTTCTTTGCGTGTCTGCATCGGTAAAACCCATGGTTGCATCGATTATTACATAGTTTATCTCGGCGCCTTGAACGCACCATCACTATGTTTTTGCGCGGCGCCGCAGACGCAGTTAGTTAGTAAACAGAAAAAATGGAGGGAAGCGACACAACAGGTGAAGAGGAGATATTAAGCGTACCTTGGAAGACACACAATAGTGCAGGATTAGTGTGGACTTTGCACTTTGAAAAGAAAGACGTCTAGTTGATATACCTCAGTGTGAGTGATGTTTACAGTTGCTGTGGCTGTCAGTTTTTTTTTT